TGACAACCTACTGGGTCCAGGATCCCCGAGGGCTAGATGGCTCCCATCTGCCCGTCCTGCAGATCAGCCTGCAAATGAAGTCCACGGTTTTCAAATAAGCAGGCTGAGTGAAGACAGACACTGGCCAACCCAACTGGAACAGAACAAGGCCCTAAACACCAAGCTCTGGGAGAGAAAGGTGAGGAGGGACAACCAGCAGTCTACAGAGACGCAGGGAGTGTGCCAGGGGAGACCATCTTTCCCAGGTAGGTCTGTGCCCCAGGGCCAAGCTAGTTGGGCTTCCCAACCCTCCCCCTCCCCCACCTCCCTCACGCAGATGTGGAAGGAAGTCTCTGCAAAAGGGAGCCGTGGATGTCTCTCACCTGGGGCAAGTGAGTGCCAGGCACTCCCTGGAAGGAAGGAAGACACTCCCTGGAAGGCCTGCCCACCCTACCCGCAGGGCAGAGGCTGCTGGCTGGTAGTTAGAACTGGGCCTCCTGGCAGCCCAGAGGAGGCAGATTCCAGAGGAGCCTTGCCTCTAGTCTCAGTGGGATGGGAAGTAACTCACTTTTGATTCCTGATGGCCATTTGCGTAAGTAAGTGTGCAAACGCGGCAAAGCCTCTGAGAGGCCCTCATACTCCCTGGGGTGACAGAAGGGCCAGAACAGTTACAGGCCCGCTGTAGGCTGCTGTTTCTGGAACGTTCAGCACCTGGACAGCTCAAGGGAGACGCTGGTCTCTGCTTAATGCAGACCTGGGCCAGGTCTGGAAGGCAGGATGAGCCTGGGATGCTGGGCAGTGGCGGGCGGGGGGGGGGGGGGGGGCTTTCCAGCCTCCAGTCCACCTGTGGGGCCTCCTCTCCAGCCCCTGGAGCCCCGGGGCAGCTCAGGAGTCATGGTGGGTGGGTTGGCCTGTGGAGGGTGTGTCCGGGAAGGGATATCACAGCCTCTGTGGGCGCCCTGCCCCTGGGCCCACACAGATCCTCAGCTGGCAGAGAATGGCACACTCTCTCCCCAACACCAGCAGACCATGTATCCGCCCATCTCCCCAATGCCGGTGGAGAAGGATGTACGCCAGCTGGCCCCTCTGTCCACTCCTGTCGATTGCCAGGGACAGGCAGGCCCCACCAGCACTGCCTGGGGTGACAGGTAGAAATCCGTAGAGGTCATTAACTCCAGAGCACCACCATTTCATGCAAAAACAGAACAACAAAACATGAGCCCTTCTAGAGCAACAGCTGGAGTGCTATATAAGAGAGTGTGGATTTTAATGTGTGGCTCTTCCTCCTTTTCCTAGTACCCATTATCATAGCATTCTCCCATAATTACACCCATAAAAGTCACCCGAAACCCCTGCACCTCACAAAAGTTGATACGCATATTGCATCCTGTGGTGTGGACTGGCTGGTCCAGAGCTTTTAGCCGGGAGGTGTCCAGGCTGCTCAGCCCGAGCTCCGTGCCTGAATCCAGGGTCCTGGTCTCACAGAGGACGCAGATGAGGCTCTGGGTGGAAAATGCAGTGTAGCGCTTCTCTGGATATGCCAGGGAGCTAGGTGAGGCTGGGGGCAAGGACCCTCCACCAGGACTGGCGACCACCCAGAGAGGGAAGCTGTTCTAACCCTGGGAATCCGACACATCCTTGGAGTGGCACGGCGTCTCTCCCTACAAGGTCATGCGTGGAGCCAGCTGGGGGAGGAGCACATCTTCACACCACTCTAAGAACATTGCCTCTCATGCTAGAAATCAGTCAAATACAAACACAGCAGGAAATGTAAAGAATAAAAGAAAGGAACAAACTCTGGAATGGCATCACTTCATTAAGTCTCCAGTGTTTCCAAGATCTCTGGGTACAACATCTGAGCAGTAGGAACACAGTATCTCCGAACCTCTCCTGTAATACGCCACAAATTGTATTTATAAAGGAAGGCAGCACCAGAGGGCCTATGCTCAGTTAGCATTCTAATGGATTAAAAACAATTTAGAAGTTGTTTGTAATTCCTCCCCTAGATGCAGCTGAGGACATGAGGTTTACATGAAAGGCACAGTTCAGTTTTGATGGGGTTTATTAACATAAAAAAAAGTCAACTTAAGTCCCAACAAGCCAGCAGGCTGGCCCGGTGAGCAACTCCTCAACACAGCACAGGATAGCCTTCTTCTGCTTCGTGTTAAATAGCACACAGGTGCATGGAGAAGTGTCCTAAGGCACACCACAGCGCATGTCCTCCACGCTCCTCTTCCCGAACCCAACTGGCCACAGCCCGAATGGGGAAAGCACATCTCCGTCACGAGCACAGCACAAGGCAACTCGACCCTCCCTGTTCCCAAACAGGACTGTGCCAAACCAGAACCCAGTGCAGTCAGCAGACCTCTCAGGTCTATACTCGATGGAAGAAATCAGACACGCCAGCCCTTCTAAGAGCTGCAACCCAGGGAGTTCCTCCAGCTCACAACAGCGTAGTTACAACTTTCTCTCCAATGCCCCTTGCCCCTCATTACCAAGCCCAGCCCTCCCCGGGCAGCCGGGCTGCTAAAAGACTGTCCCCGCTGTCCTCTGGGGGACCATGAGTGGCGGGGCACACATTTTAAAAAGAAGACACATGAGGCACAGCCTTCTTCCTTTTTTTTTTTTTTTTTCCTGGCAATTTTTCCCCAATAGGAGAAAATGACAAGGCTGTGTCACCATAGCAACCAGCCTAATTGGTGGACTGCAGGTCTCTCTCTAGCCAGAGGGTGGAGCCCATGCCCTTAACTATGAAAGCTCTGTGCATACGAAGGACTTCTCACTGGGCCAACAGCCTAGAACCCAGCAGAAACCAGGCCAGGAAATAATCCAGTTTCTTCCTAGCAGAGCCAGGAAGTGAAGACCCTCTGGCCTGCAGAGAAACACAAGGACCTGACCAGCAGGGTCGATGAATTCTGTAGGAAGTTTACCACTTTCCCTAATTAATACAATCGAATCTACGTCTACACACACATACACACCTCTCTTGGGTAATAAAAATTCTCACCAATAACTAAAGCAATTGACAAACAACCATGCTAAATTTCCTCCTTCATCCCAGAAGTACTGGAGGGAGAATGGAAATCCTAAGAAAAACATTGTTTTCTTTGCTTTAGCAATTCTAAGAAAAAGTACTCCCCACCTACCATCCCCCCCCCCCCCCAGAATGCAGTTCCAACCTATCCATTATTATGAGGTCTATTTTGTGTTTTAGTGGAATGTTTTAATTTCTACAGGTGCCTTTCTGGTGTAATGAGGTATGTCTAGAAATATCATCTTCTTGTCAATTATTGCTTTACATGGAGACTGAAACCAGCCACGGAAATGTGGCTTCCCCAGCTTCAGTGATTAATGATTTCTACTCTTGTGGATAAGATTTTTTTTTTTTTTTTTTACCAAATATCCCTATGGGGCTGTTTTCAGGATGCGGGACAGATGTGAGAAGGAGGTGGCCCTTGCCCTCTTGGCCAGCATGTCTGTGTCTGTGTCCATGTCGGTGTCAGTATCTGAACTCCCTCCACCCGCTGGGGCCCAGGTCTGCACTCCAACACCAAACTTGCGGAGCGGGCAGCCTGCCCAGGAAGTGTGAGCCACTGTGGCTAGAGTGAGTGACACCACAGGCCCTTGAGCCCAAGGGACAGCCCGCCCTCCAGGCAGAGAGCTGCCCTCCTGGACGGTGTGCATGGTCCTGCCCCGTCCACCTACACAGCTGCTACTCCCCGGGGCCAGCTCCGGGCTCTGGAGTGTCCAGCAGGCCGGAGGGCACTGTTGCCAGACACGCCGGGGAGGGACAGCCGGATGGGGCCTGGGGTCACCACGAAACACACGCACACGCGCACACCCCACCACGGCTGGGCGAGCCCTTCCCGCAGCGGAGCCACAGGGGGAGCGCAGCCATGGAACTCTCAGCCCCGAGTCTACCGCCGTCCCCCTGGCCAGCTCAGCCCAGGAGCGGCCCGCAGAGCCGGTCAGGCCGGGGGTGAGCGCGGGAGCGCGGGGCCCGCCGCCCTGGCCCTGCAGCTTCCCTCGCCCGGGGCGCGCACGGCCGGAGCAGGCCGGACGCCCGGGCCTAGGCTGGCACCGCGCCTGCGGTCAGCCCCCTGCTCCGCGCGGGCCGGGGCGGGGGGCCGGGGCCAAGGGTGGCGCGGGCTGGGGGGGCTGCGGGCCTCCTTTGTATTTAATTTTCTATGCGTAAAGAGTCCACCTTTACACGGAGCCCCGGAACCCCGGAGCCCGGGCGGCTCTCCACGACAGGTGTCCCTGGCTGCGGGCTGTCCGCGACACCGAGGGGCACCGGGGTCCGTGGCCCACCCGGCAAGTCCTCCGCGCGCTGCCCAGCCCGGCCGGCCGCGAGCGGGCAGCGGCCTCGGGCGGGCGCCGGGCTCGGGGCCCCTCTCCCCTACCCCGGCCCGGCCCGGTCGGCACGATCCCAGGTCCGCCGGATCGCCGGCTCGGCCCCCGGGCCACCCCGGGGACGCCCGCGGCCGCCGCCGGCCCCGCGCGCAGCGCGCCCCGCACTTCTCCGCTTCGGGACGGCGCCGCGCGTCCGAGCCCGAGCCCCGCTCCGAGCCCCGGAAGCCCCGCTCCGGCCCCGGCCGCCGCCACCCCGGGGACCCCCACCTTCCCCCCGCCCCGGGCGGGAGCCTCCGCCGATCCCCCGCCGGGACCGCCACCACCTCCGCGCGCTGCGCCCGGCCGGGTCCCGGGTCCCGGGGCGCCGGGCAGCGGCGGGCAGGGACGCGCCGCGCCGACGCGGGCCCGGCCCGGCCCGGGAGTGGCGGGCGGGAGGCCCCGGCAGAGGCGCCCGGGCCCCGAGGTGCCGGCCGCCGCGGGAGCCGCGCGGACACCCTCCCCCCACCCGCCCTGCGCGCCCGGCGGGGCCCGGGGGCCGCGCGCCACGCGCTCCCAACTCCGCACCGACGCGGGGCGGCCCGCGGGCGGCGCGCCGGGGCCCGGGGCCGGGGCCGGGGCCGGGCCGGGCCGCCCCGCGCGCCCGGCGGGGCCCGGAGCGCGGTACTCACTGCAGTAGGCGATGAGCAGGCTGGCCAGGATCATGAACGCCCAAAAAGTTGAGGACATGCTGGGCAGGGCGGTCGCATCTTGCCGGCTGCTGGTCCTGGGCGATGGCGCCATTGAAGCCGCGGCGCCCGCGCGGGGGGCAGCAGCGCGTCTCAGCAGCCGGCCCTGCCCGCGCCCCCGCGCCGGCCTCCACGTGCGGGACCCGCGCGCGCCATCCTCCTCCTCCGCCGCCGCCGCCTCCACCTCCTCCTCCGCCGCCGCCGCCCTCGCCGCCGCCGCCGCCGCCGCCGCGCCCCGGCCCCGGCCCGCTGCGCCCCGCTCCGGCCCGCCCCGCGCCGCGCCCGCGCCGCCCGCGCCCGCGCCTGCCGCGCCCGCGCCCGCGCCGGCCTGCCGGGAGGGGGACGCGGGCCCCGCGGCTCCGGCGTCGCGGCGCGCCCAGCCCGGCACCAGCGTGAGGGGCGCGCTCGGTGCGCGCGCCCGGCGTGGCGGGGCCCCGCGTCCCGGGACCGGCGCGGGAGGCGGGCGCCTCTGGATGGCGACAGAGACGGCCCAGCGCGCCCACCGCGCGGGCGCCTCGCGGCGGGACTGGCGCGGCTGGCCTGAAGTTGGGGGACGCGGCTCCCCGGCGTCTCCCATCCTCGGTGCCTGCGACGCCGCCCCCCCCCCCGACCCCCTGGATCTGGGCTGGGACCCAGAGTGCAGGCCGCGCCGAGGATGGGCACTGGAGCCCGGCTTCGGGGGCCGCCCTGCCGCCTGCGTTCTCCAGAGTACGGCCTGGGGCTCCTGGTCACCCTGGGTCGGGCCCACCTCCCCGCGGCCTGCCCCGGGACCCCGGGCAGACACTAGGAGCTCGCACACGCATGTGCCCGTACACCTACTCCCCCGAAATCCGATTCTAGGCCTTGAACTCGAGACCTGGGAACTGCCCTTAGCTTTCACCACTTGAGCCTGTGACAAAAGCGGACAACTCTACTTACTTTTAGTGTTCAATTGGAGGTAAGAGTCTCATGGATTGTTCTTACCTGCGCTGGCTTCAAACCATGATCCTCACGTCTCAACCTCCCAGGGTTACAGGTGTGAGCCACTAGTGCTGGCTCCCCCCTGACAGGGCTGCCTCTGGTTCTCAGTACCGAGAAGGCTGATCCCATTCAGGTGGCCCGGGGCACCAGGTGAGCTTCCAGAGCAGGGTAACAAGGATAACAAATCATTTTAGTTGCATAATTACCATCTCAAAGTAGCTCCATCTCCAAAAACAAAGCTGGTCTTTGGAAGGGGTTTTCTCACTTTCCCAGTCCTCGTCCCAGGGCTCAGGAGAGATACAACCAAGTCCAGGCTGGGGTCTCACAGGTGTGCGAGTCACCTGGGGGGCGGGGGGGTGCTGCTAATGGTCCTGCAGGCAGGTGGGTGTGTTTATAGACACTCCTGCTTTGGATTCCTAGGCCCTTTCCTCTTTTGTGAAGAGGTGTGCTTGCTTGCTTGCTTGCACCGCAGGAGGTCTTGCTGGAACTGCAGACATTCCCCAATAAATCTCTAATTGGTTACCAGCATCCCTCTTGTCTTCTGAGCCTTAGTGGAGGCTGCCTGCCTATAAAGAGGTCTGGAGAAGCTGCTGAGCGGCTGAGGTGGCAGCAGGCTGCATGAGGCCTCCACAGAGGCACACACACACTCATGTTCAACTCCTGCTTCCTTCACACTGGCCTCCCAGCTGGCCTCTGCAGGGCAGCGTCTCCTGCTGTGCCCCCGTGGGAGCAGGGCCTTCATGTGGACACAGAGGCAGCATTCTTGGCTTGAATATTCCAGACCCCTGTCTATGCCCCTGATTTGAGGGCAGTGTGTCTGCCGGACCGTGGACTCTATGGAACTCACCAGGAATTCCTGAGCCTGCTTCCCAGCCCCCATCCTGCAATCAAGGCCTTTTATCTTGAAAAGGATGTCACCTTTGGCAAAGCCGTTCCATCCTGTCCATTCTAGAATGCCGTGCCGTGCCCCACATTCCTCATTTTAACAGGACTCACAGAGGGCTTGCTGGAGAGTGGGCCCCAAGGCCAGGGAGTCCACAAGACTTAGGATTTCTTCCCTCTAGACATTCACTGTGCTTGGAGAAACAGACAGGAGGAAAGCAAGCCCAGCAGCGCTGCAGGTGTCAGGGTCCAGTACCGACTTTAGGGTGCACTGGGGAACTCCCTGGAGATGTTGCCAATCATTTGGGGGTGCCATCTTATGACCACCCCCACATGTTCATTCAGTACACATGCTCATGTACACCTGCGAGTACACATATGTTCATGCACCCACATGTCCACACATGCAGGTTCCTGCACACACACATTAATGAACTCTCCCTCTCATGGATATGTACGCTTATGCACGCTTAACCACACATATATTTATACTCGTGTGTTTATCCAAACAAGCTCACACGCACATACTTGCACCCATACACAAATGATCATATGCACACACTGTTGCACACACAATCGTATGTGTTCACTTACACATTTATTTGCATAGTTGCACCTTGCACATGTGTTCATTCACATGCCTTCATGTGACCACATGCATGGTGACACACACGTCTGTATACCCTCACACATATCTGTGCCCACGTTCACACACAGGTGTGTCTGCACATTTCATGCACATATGCTTGCACACACAGGCTCATGCAAATATGTGCACACACTCATGTACTCATGCATGCACACACATAAAATGAAAGCGTCACAGAACAACATTTATCCTCACAATATTCTCTGATATTTTCTTTTCTGTCTTAATTCAGTTCTTCAAATGCTGGTTGCCCACTCAATAATTGGGTTTACAGTAATTTTCTTTGTTTGAGAAGCCTTGTTCCAGGAGAGACAGAGTCTATATTAAATTGAGGAAGACAAGTGGAACTGTCCTGTCTATGGCAGAGTGGGGGGGGATTGCCTAAGCACAGGAGCATGGAGGGGTTCAGGAACATGAGGGGCACGCACGGCGGGGGGGCAGGTGGCCTGCTCCATCTCAGCACACAGGCAATGCTAGTGTTTGGGCTGCAGCACCGGAGGCTCAGCGGGGAAACCTTAGAATACTGGTGTATGGTTCATGTCATGAACTGAGCATTCCTAGACAGGAATGAGCCCAGAGCCCTTTGTAAGACTTGGAATCCAGAGGACAGGTGAGACTGGGAACCAGAGGCTGGAGACAGCCAGTCTCTACCCTAGCTGTGCATGGGATGGAAGGAAAGGGGTGGCTGGGGTACGGGAGAAGCCTCGAGGGTTAGTATGGACGGCAGCCCTGATCTAATTATGACGCTGCGGCCTGGAGACAAGAGCAGGTGCCTGGCACCGCGGGCCTCGTCCAGGCCTTGTTTCCAGGGCCTGGTGAGGGCGCCCAGGGTGGAATTGAGGATGGGGGGAGGAGGATGAGCAGAGCGCTTAGCTCTGTTGCTAGGAGACAGAGCCTCAGTTCTGGATCCCAATGTGTGCTACCAATTGACAAAAATTCGTGGTAGTGGGGATGGACCGGCTTTGATTGCTAGCCAGAATTAGTAGGACATTAAAATTTGAGACTCAAGGAAGTTTATTTGTGGATCATAGCAGGTCTTGGACACCAGCCTAAAATCAGCGGGGATGACACTAGTTTAACCCTGAGGAAATCCTCAGAGTTCACGGCAATGACAGTCAACGGTCACCGGGTCACTGAGCTGCTCCTCCACCTCTGAGGCGCACACACCGCGCCAGCCGGAGAGCCTGCGCTGCTCCTCCAGATGTGCTGGCGTGCTCCGGCTGTGCTTTGGTTGACACGCACCTTGTCTTGGCTTTCCATTTTCTTCATCTTCCTCACCGTGTCACAGTGCTAGGCCCTCAGCTGCCCAGCGGACCATAAACTCCCAGAGTGGCTGCATTGGGATGGCTCTGGTTGGCCTCCCCACGGGGAGGTTGGGAAGCCATTCCGTGATGACCCTGGCCCGATTGTGAGGGGACTGTGGATCTGTGTGTGGAAAGCTACTCAGGGGGTGGGGCCCTGACCAGGGCCTGGGTTGCGTGTCCCTCCTCCATGGTGGGTCCCTCCTCTCTGAGAGCCTCGGCACTCACCCTCCTGTGCAGTCCCAGGAGGTCCCTCTGGCTTCTGGGAGGTAGAACCTGGAGGACAGGGTGTGGCTGTGTCCCCCCCAGCCCCCAGCTGTGAGCACGGGACCCAGGCTGGGCCCAGCAGCTGCCTCGGTGGGCTCCCGTAACAGACATGCCTGCAGGAGGTCTACTGAGTGACCTTGGCCGGCTGCAGGGGACAGACACCCAACATCCACGGGCTCCATCCCGTGGATGGAGGAGAAGAGGAGGAGAAGAGCCAGGGCAAAGCAAGACAGTGAGCTGCTAAGCTCAGCTGTAAGCTTTGTGAAGACAGAGGCCGCCTCTCTGTGTCTGCAGAGAATCCACAAAGCAAGGAATGCATTGCTCTGTGTGTGTGTGTGTGTGTGTGTGTGTGTATGTGTGTGTGTGTGTGTGTGTGTGTGTGTGTGCACACCCGCACACCAGTCCTGGGCCTTGAACTCAGGACCTGGGGGCTGCCCCTGATATTTTCTGCTCAAGCCTGGTGCTCTACCACTTGAACCACAACTTCACCTCTGGATTTTTGGTGGTTAATTGGAGATAAGATTCTCAGAGACTTTTCTGCCCAGGCTGACTCCAAACCACAGTGCTCAGGTCTCAGCCTCCTGAGTAGCTAGGATTACGGGTCTGAGCCACCAGCGTCTGACACTATAAGTGCTTATTATCCATGGCATGTGTCGGGTCTTACTAATGCAGTAAGTGGTAGCCGTGCATGTATCCCATCCTGAGTGCAGACATGCTGGCACGCCTGGGTTGATCTTTCCAACAAACCTGCAGCGCAGCCAGTGCCTACATACAGATGAGTTAAGGATTTTGAGCGGGGAGGTGGCAGCTGTGGCAGGACCACAAGCAATCTGGCCATTGGAAATGTGCTCTGAAGCTTGGGGCTTCCTGCCTCTCCTTCCTAACTTCCATTTTCCAATGGATGAGCAAAATGATGTCCTTCGCTTAGACAACTCCTATTTAGTGTTTCGTTGATCTCTTTGCCATCCTGTTTCCTGAGACACACCCGTTCCGTGG